CAGAGATTCTTTTCACTTTTAACTTTTTTTCATAAGTTAAAAAAATTATTATTTTTTTAAAAGAAAATTCTGTTTTTGTTATTGACTATAATTAATTATGAGCAGAACAATATTAATAATAGTAGTATTTATCTTGTAATAGAATAATTTAGATGCTCCATTTCCAGCAACTTTAAAATAATATTTTTTATATAAATACAAAAGAAAAAAGAATATTATAGATGATTAATGGAGATATGTTTAACACACATTGATCTCATGGAAACTTTTAAATTTTATTTTATGTAACGGAATTACACAAAAATTTGTTAAAATTAATATTTTTACATTAATTCTGGCTAATAGGGAAAAAGGAAAAAAAAAAAAAAAGCAAACTTTTGTTGTAGTTTGTGCTTGTGAAATCCATTCTATTAAAGCCCATGGGCCATAGATATTACGGCCTTCGAAGTTACAAGCTCTTTTATTGTAAAACGCTTGCTCTTCTGTGTTATACGTGCAAAAAAAAACCTTCGTTCTATGTCTAAGCAGCCATCGATCGCTTGCGATATCAATTTTCGTAAAAATGAAAATATAAATTCAATCTTCAAAAAATACATTTTATTGAAAGAATCAAAAATATTTTTTTCATAAAAAATCAAAAGAGAAAAGGCAAAAGCAAAAACATTTTCCAAATGGCATCTAGAAATAATTACGTAATGACATTAGCATCCTTAATGATATTAAATCTAGCTCCATCAATGCGCATCATTGATATTAAATATTAATTTCCTTTAAGTGGAAAAAGAATCTAATATTTATGTATTTATATGTAAACTTTAATATATTTATGCAGATATCAAATCTTTCAGTATCGTATACGCTCTTTAAATTTTCAAAAAGTCTAATCATATAAAAATTCTAAAATCACAAGGTAGTATAAAATTCTCTCATAGCCATAGACTTCCTCGTCAATAATCACATCAATGGCAACACTATCAACACAAGCTCTTATAATCGGGTTGATATTTTCATGTCTTGCAGCGTCAATTCCATATGGAATGGCCCTGAAACTAAAGATTCCAAAGCTAAGCCCTTACATGTGCTTGGCACATTTAGCTACTGTTGAAGGATGTTTCAATTCTCTCTTTAAAGCTATTACTAAACCCAAACAAAGCAATGTTATTGGAAAGGCTTGTTGCAAGGTTATCCATGAAACCAACCCTACGTGTTGGTCCCTTCTGTTTCCTGAAGTTTCTGATGTTCTTTTGATACTCGACGGCCTTTGTCCTTCGGAACCTGTACCATCACCATGAGATCAATGAAGGATAAAAAGGTTATATATATATTGTGTGTAATAAGAGGATGCTTTTATTTGCATCTTTAAGTCTCATGTACTCAGTGAGATTTACTTATTAATAATAGTATTATAATTTTATATATGCTGATTGGCTCGCACATTTTGCGATTTTTGTTTCTGTTGGCTTGCATATGCAGGACCTTTATTCTCCTATGAGTTGTATATAAATAAATAAATAAAATTTCTATATATATATATATATAATCTGCTTCAAAATTTAGTTCTCCTGAGATAATATTTAAGGAAAAATAAATGAAATAACGTTAGCGAATTGTGGCTAATTGTAAGGAAAAAAAAAAAAAAAGAAAAGTTTTTTGTAGATTCTAATCGTGAAATCCATTCTATGAAAGCCCATGGGCCATAGATGTTACGGCCTACATAAGCTATTGCTGTACAACTCTTCTATTTTATACTTGAAACAAAGACCTTCATTCTGTATTGCAAAAATACTGTCTGTTAATTTCATTTTTCTAATTTTTTTAAACCATGTATGCATGATGCTATAATTTCTTTTCATATAGAAAAAAAAAATTTGAATAAAAAAATATTAAATTTACCTAAATAGATTTTTTTCGAAAAGAAAATAAAATATTGATGTTATCATTTTTATCGTTCCGCAAACAAAAAAAAAAAAAAATCACATCCATTCAATAAGAGAAAAAGTAATTATATCGATAAGGAGTGGCTAAACAGTAAGGTATACATAAGCTCGAGTTCAGCTGATAATTTTTGCAATTCTAGGAGTTTGATATGGGAAAATATATTTAAAAAGAGTAGTCACGGGCCCGATTCTATGGGCCTGTTTAATTTGGGTGGTAGTGTTTCTCTTTTTATCAGTCCACGTCGGGCCGACAGCAACCTGGACTGGCCCAAATGCGGATCCCATAAATTAATGTCGATGACTGAATTGCACTTTGCATTTGTACGATAGCTAAAATGTTATACATGAGGCACTTAATGATGGTGATTAACAGATAATTAGTCGGTTTAGCAACACAAATCCTGAATTCAAGAATATACATTTATTACATGTAGGATGATAGAAAGTTGTACATTCGATTTTCATATTTATATTTTAATTTTCTTTACTCAGTGATTATAGCACTGTCGTTTGGAAGGTGAGAAGTAGGGTGGTATGGTATGTGCAGACAACAGGGAAAATGGAGATACAGGAAATCCAAACGAAATATGACAAATCCAGAAATAACTAACAACCGTAGGCGTAGGCTTCTCTGTTTGAGGAGATAGCTGTCCTACTTAATTACTTTATTAAACCATTAGGGTAAATTTAAAATGACACCTCATCCCTCTAATTAATAACTCTCTCTCAGAAACCATAATTGGGTTCAGAAAAAAAAAAAAAAAAGGACAGATTTCATTCAATTCGTCACTCTCTCACCAAAACGGTGTTACAAAAGAACGAAGGGTTCCGTACTCCTATTTTTCAAAACCTATAAAATTCAGTACTATTTGGATTTTGTCTTTAATGGAACACTGCTATGATATGCATTTCTCAGCCAGCTAAGAAATGTATACATACAATTAAATATCGTCCGTACAACTTTTTTTCTTTGTACGGTGTCAAAATTAATTTGAAATTATTCTAGCTGTCGACACATGCGAAATATTTTTACTAGAACGGAGAAAATTTACTTATATTTGGTGTATGGATTTATCTATACACTAAATTAATTACATTTCAAACGATAGTATTTTTTTATTGTGAAAAAAAATAAAATAATATCATTTTTTTTTTTTTTGGAATGCTCCTTATTTTTATACTTCAAATTTCAAAATTTAATCTTTCGGGTAAAGTTATATGAAAATGATGAAATTATAAAGATTATAAATTCAAACTGGAAAACATATTTTGTCTACATATCTTTGTCTGTTGCGGATTAAATTAAAAAGAAAATGTTTTTTTTTTTTTTTAAATAAGAAAATAGCAGAACATTTTATTTTTCTTTCAACTGAAGCATAAAAGAAATAAATGATAACGAAATGACTGAGGTCCGGACGTCTGGTTAAAAAAGTACAAGCAAGATAGAAGAGACTTTGTTTTCATCTTTAAGCTGTGAGTAACAGAGTAGTCAGAGGAAGGGGCAGAGTGGAAAAAATTGACAAGAGAGTTAAGTTAGTAGACATTACATATACAAATAATTGAAGAACAATTTGAAAAGAAAGAAATAATGGAAACAGTGAAAAAGAATTAATGATGGCAGTTTTTTACATGCTTCTTCTGCTACACTTCCATTAATCAACTGAAAGATCTTTTCAACCCTTTAAAAAGAAACTGAGAAAGAGAGAGAATAAAGAAAAGGGTTGCAGCTTGGAGCTGCTCTGTCATCTCTAAATTACTTAAGAAAAGAAAGTTTCATTGGGTTTGTGCATTTAATGTCATGGAAAGAAAAAGAAAATTTTACAGTGACATATGCTTTCATTTCCTTTTGCAAGTTAAAAGGCAAATATGCACTATATACCCACTTTGATTGATTCTACCTTAGTTCAGAGATAGACAAGGAAAGATTAGTACTTTACTAAATATTTCATTTTATGAGAGAAAAATAATCTTTAAAGAGTCTTTTTTTTTTTTTTTTTTGGATGAGTAACTAGAGTGTGCAGAGGAAGAGGGTGAGCGAGGAGTAATAGGAAAAAGACAGGAGAGTTAAGGTTGAGTAGACATTACTAATACAACTTATGGACCAAATCATATTTGAAGACAATTTTGAAGAAAGAAATAATGGAAAGCAGTGAAAAAGCAATTAATGATGGCAGTTGTTTTGGCATATACTTCTGCTACATATCTTCCATTAACATTATATCTATATCTGAAAGATGCTTTTCACGCCTTTAAAAAGAAAACTGAGAAAGAGAGAGAATAAAGAAAAGGGTTGCACTTGGAGCTGAAACTGTCATCTCTAAAATTACTTAAGAAAGAGAAAGTTTCATAAGAGATTATAGATTAGAGATATTAAATGTCATGGAAAAGAAAAGAAAATTTTTACAGTGACATATGCTTTCATTTCATATTTGACAAGTTAAAAGGCAATAGTGCACTATATTAAGCCGGCACTTTGATTGGATTCTACCTTAAGTTGCAGAGATAGACAAGGAAAGATTAGTACTTGACTAAATATTTCAATTTTAATGAGAGAAAAATAATCTTTAAAGAGGATACGTGTTTAATATATATTTTTTTTTATTTTCTGATATAAAATGTCAGGGCTTCACGAGGTTGTCAGGGACTGGGTATCTTTCTTTTCCGTAGGGCATAGCTCCAAGGAGCCGTAACCTGTAATCTCAGCTAAGAGCATTGAAGTGTGGTGTATTCTCTTTTTTCAGTTGAGAGAAAAGGTAGTAAAGTGAATATGTTCCTTCTGGATTAATCTCTGTTGGGAGCAAGGAAAATTCGAAGAAATTTCGCACTTTTTTTATTGCTTTATGTTTGCTTTCTTTCCACGTCCCCTTTTACAATTAATAATGAGTAATTATGGATTCTATTAATCTTTTTTTTTTTTTTTTTTCTGATATAAAAATGTAAGGGCTTCACGAGGTTGTCAGACTGAGGTATCTTTCTTTTCGTGGACGCATAGCTCCAAAACGTAATGAGAGAGATGAATGTGTGTATTCTTTCTTTCAATTGAAATTTGAAAAGGTTTGAAGAAAAAAGAATAGTCCTTCGGTTTCTCGTTGGGGCAAGGAAAATTCGAAGAATTTCACTTTTTTTATTGCTTTATGTTTACTTTCTTTCCGTCCCCTTTTACAATTAATAATGAGAATATGATTCTATTATCGAGGAATTTACCTATTTAGACCAGGTAACTATAAAAATACGTATAAACAAAAAAAAAAAGAAAAAGAAAAAAGCTATTAATTTATTCTTGTATTGGTCATAAGTACCCTTCATTATACATAGCAATTCTCCATTGTTATTCAACAATTATTATTAAGCTTCCCTTGAGTGTTTTGAATAAATACATATAATATAGTTCCCATAACATCTCTGCATCTTCCAGCGGCGTGTTTTTGTCATGTAATGCACATCTTCACGAGCCATTGACAGTATTTTATATTCCTTTCCCTTTGCCTTTTTGATTTCAATCTTTCTCTTCCTTTTTCAAATATTGCCGCTTTTTCCCTTTCAGATTTTCTTTTAAAAGTCCGCCGGAAGATTGTGTTATGAGCTGTAACACTCTATTTTCTCTAAAATGAGTCTTAACGTCTCCTGATTTTTCTCCTACTCTCTAGTTGGACTCTGCTTTCTACCCACTTTCTACTTCTAGTGTAATGGGTAAAGCTACAAGATGGCTAAAGGGTCTGTTTGGAATAAAGAACAACAACAATAAAGACAATTATCACCGGAAAAACAAGAACCGGTATAGTTCAGGTAGAGACTCACCTGGGTTATGTTACAATCCGGCTACTATACCGCCTAATATATCTCCAGCAGAGGCTGCTTGGATAAGATCATACTACAATGAAACAGAGAAAGAACAGAGCAAGCATGCTATAGCGGTGGCAGCAGCCACAGCTGCGGCGGCTGATGCTGCTGTTGCTGCTGCACAGGCTGCGGTTGCAGTAGTGAGGCTTACGAGTCAGGGCAGAGGCAGTAATACAATGTTTGGTGGCGGACAAGAGAGATGGGCTGCTGTCAAGATTCAGACAGTTTTTAGGGGTTATTTGGTAATTGAGCGACATTTTACTAACCAATTAAGCTTTAGTATGCAATTTATGTTCTTTGTCTTCTAATTTTGTTATTTTGGATTTTAATACAGGCAAGAAAAGCACTAAGAGCATTAAAAGGATTGGTGAAATTACAAGCATATTTTAGAGGCTATTTAGTAAGAAAACAAGCAACTGCAACTCTCCATAGTATGCAAGCTCTTATCAGGGCACAAGCCACTGTCCGTTCTCAAAGAACCAGAAACCTGAATGGAGCTGATAACCGGTTCGAAGCTCGAGCTCGAAAATCTATGGTATATTTTTCCAAATTTCGTAAATTCAGTCCGACGATAGTCAAAAATACATTTGATTACGTTACAATTTTCAGCGTATTAAAGTTTGGGTCTTTCATTGATTTTCAGGAGAGATTTGATGAAACGAGAAGTGAACACACAGCTTCTATTCACAGTAGAAGACTTTCAAGCTCACTAGACTTTCAAGCTACATTAATAAACTCCATTGATGGAAGTCCAAAAATAGTGGAGGTTGATACAGGTAATAATTGCAGGCCAAAATCAAGATCTCGTAGAACTAACACGTCAGTTTCAGATTTCAGTGATGACCCATTTTACCAAACACTCCCTTCTCCACTCCCATCAAGAATTCCACCTCGTTTATCGATGCTCGACACTCGAAATTTTCAAGATTCCGATTGGGGATTAACAGGTGATGAATGTAGATTCTCTACTGCACAAAGCACTCCCAGGTTTATCAACTCCGAAAGATTGTCTAATCCTCCTTTGACACCTTCCAAGAGCGTTTGTGCAGATAACTTGTTCAGGCAATTTGGCAATTTCCCCAATTATATGGCTAATACTCAATCTTTCAAAGCCAAAGTGAGATCACATAGTGCTCCAAAACAGAGGCCTGAACCAGGGCCAAAGAAGAGATTATCACTCAATGAGTTAATGGAATCAAGAAATAGTATAAGTGGTGTTAGAATGCAAAGGTCCTGTTCACAAGTTCAAGAAGCCATTAATTTCAAGAATGCTGTGTTGGGTAAACTTGATAGGTGTTCCGAGTTTATTAGAGCAGCAGATAGAAATTATTTGCAGAGAAGGTGATTGCTAATTAGATGTTATATAAGTCAGTGACATAATATATTTAAACAAACTGTAGTTGAAAATTTTCTCAATGCATTCGATTCAAGATTTGCTATTGATGGAATCAAATTTTAAATTTTAAGCGAATTTTGCTTGTACAAAATCATTTAACATGAAGGGGCTGAGTTGTTTTGTGTATGGACAAGAATAATCGCACTCTGCGAAACAGTCACATCAATCAAGTACTCAAATGTTTGCTAATAATGATTAACTTTTTGATTTGATGCTTAGCTCATGACTATCCTATGAATATATAATAAATTTTAATTTACAGATAAAACTCTCTTTCTGTCTTTCATATGGCTGCCCTGCCATCATCAAAGACAAAGTTTAAGCCCTTTTAAAAAGAAAGAAAAGAATAAAATTTTTGGAACTTAGAAAGAAACAGGGACAAGTTAGGCAATGATGCACTGTCTTTTGAGCTGAACATTTCGTGGAGCGTGCTGATAAGGGATGTCTTTGTAACACATTTTGAATCCCAACGCTCTTTGCGACTCTTCCCTTCTGTATGAACGCTATTTAATTTCAATTTTTTTATTCATAACGCTATTTAATTATTCAATTATTAATGTATATATACACACATATGTTACTTAGGGATTCATTCTCATTTTTGCCTTTTTATATTTTGATAAACAGAAACAAATCTTTTTAATTTTTTTAAAAACGACTTGATTGTACTAATTTAATTGATTTTTTCATATTTTGTAGAAAATTTGGGAAATAAGATATCTCAAATTTAGATCCTATTAATTATAAAAATTTTAATCGATTTGGTGAATTAGGCCATCTAGTTTGCTTGAACTTTAGACTTAAAAAAAAAAAAAAAAATCTTTTTTTACACTTTCTTTTTAATAAAGAGTAATTTAGCATATCTCCTCCATTCAAGAGTCCGCCACAGACCCCTGAAAAAAAAAAAAAGAAAAAAAAACTCAAATTTGATTCCTATTTAATTTATAAAAATTTTAATCGATTTTGGTGAATTAGGCCATCTAGTTTGCTTGAACTTTAGAACTTAAAAAATTAAAAAAAAAAGATTCTTTTGTTACAGCACTTTCTTTTAATAAAGGCAGTAATTTAGCAATATTATCTTCTCTCATGTCAAACGAGGTAATTATTATGGGCTCGGCCACGCAACCACTCACTAATTGAAAGAGAGCAAAATAAAGAAATGATACCTTTATGACAGCTTTAGGAAGAATAAAAAAGCTCTGCCACACGACTAAAGTTAGATCTATTGGCCACATATGCATACTGAAAAAATTAAAGTCCTAATAAAAAACGCGCACATCATAGGTTGAACCTAATTTCAGGGCTTGAACATCAAATTTATGATATCCGGGTCCTAAGTCGTGCTAGAGGAGAGGCTAGGCAAGCTTGGCCTTTATATTTTTAGTTTGGTCTTTCCAGTGCCATTATATTTTTATTTTTCCTATTGGAAATTGTTTTTGTCTCAATATACGCTAGAGCGATATAAGTACAGTTGCTGTGCGGCTTTCTTGTCGATGTGGCGTGCGCATGGGCCTTGCACCCCTATTGAGAATATATTATAATCTACTCTCTCTCTCTTTCTCCCGAATTAAATTATTAGTAAAAGTTGTCAAAAAATAGATGATGTTGTGCCTCACAATATGTTTTTCAATAGTAAATTATTTATTAATTTTCTTTGCATACATTATAGTCTCTATAAAATATAATTATACAAAGAACAAATCTAATGAAATTATAGTCTCTAAAGAGGATGTATCTTTCGAGCAGATATACTGTTTAGAGTGTTATATTAATTGATTTGATTATTATTACGAGTAGGATTTATAGAATTTTTCCCTAATGTGATACTAGTATGTTAGTATGGTATCGATGGACAATGATGAAATAAGATAGATTAGGTTCACTATCTAGCAAACGCGATTACCTCAGTTTCTATGAAATTAGAAAGTATCATATTTCAAAGAGAGAGAATGTCTCTTATTCTGGAATTTATATAATATATGAAAATAGAGCCAAAAAATTGGGAAAAAATGCAAATGAATCAAACCTAAAGTTATAATTTTCGCTTCAGAGTGAAATAAAACTATGCAAGGTCAAAAAAGGGTTACTAAATGTAAAAAAACAACAACAGTTTCCTGATGAAGTAATAAATTATGCGTTAATGAATATATACTGAAACTTAAAAACAATAGAGATAGAAATTGAAAGTTGAGAGCGAGTATCTATTGGCAGATAGAAGAGCGAAGGTGTAATGTAGCCACCGAGTGCCAAGCAATTTGTGCGCGCCTTCGAGAGTGAGAAAACGATCCTCGACACGAGTAATCAGTGTAAGGTGTCAGTACGCTATCTGCCCCGCTTATTGAGTGGCTCTGTTATTGATTCATTCAGTGCAGCTTGAAACAAAAGAATTAGTATATATTATGTAAACATAGACAAACATAGGAGGAGCAATTACAAATTTTTTGTTCCCTATATAGTGTTATATTGGTACCGTTGTGTAAACTTAAAAACGTCAGCCTACAAAATTATATGTGGCTCAATATATTCTTTCCTTTCTCATGGTGCTCTGTCATTATAACTACAAATCGCGGCGAGTTCTTCACTTGATATAGTGGATGACTCTGATACTGTTTCAATGATGTCAAGGGATTCAGATGAGTAGCAAAGACGTGATATTTAGTTAAAGGCAGTTAAGATAGGGAAAATGTTTGATGATTACAGTATTAAATTTTAAATTTATAATAGATATTATGCCAAAATAAGGATAACAATTGCTTACTATTAGGGCTACTCTTATAATCAGATTTTTCACATTGATAGATTTATTCTATTTGGTGTCATATATGACAATAAAATATATAGAGAGATATATATATTATAGGATTAATAGAATATAGAGAGTTTATATATATATAGATATATATTATTGTTCCAACATAATAACACAAATACGAGGTCACAGTGTGTTTCCACACAGACTTATACATATATGAATATGTTACCTGGTGTGTTTAATTAGCATGGCTGGCTTTAGTGTATCTCCTAGAGCGCACTCGAGTTCTCAGTCATCTAGTGAGAGGATCTGAGTACATATCTCTTATTTTGATTAAATTCGGATAACATTTGTGCGAGATATGAGTACGAGACTCTATTTGGTATATAGTCTGGCTGTAATTATATGATTGCTCTACTGCTAATGCAGAAATAGTAATTACCAATGATTTTTCAAGTGCTCGTGTTTATGAGATCTATATATTTATCGCGGATTCACAAATTACATTCTATAATATTTGATGTTACATATTCTGTGTTGCCTGTCCTATCTACAAGTAGATCAACTAGGAGTAGACACATGCGCAGTCCTTGAGTTCAAAAGATCTTATTAAGTCAGCTTCACTCTCATATCACAGCTCGCACAGATTTACTTTTTGTGGAATGACATTATGAATGTCGGTGAGTTGATTTCCGTTAGCTATGGAGAAACAACCATATAGGATGCAGAGATATCAGAGAGTTTGCACCTGCCTATTAAGTTTGGAGAAACTTACTCATCGGAGAATCCAAAGCTGAAATAATATATAAGTTACTAAGATGAAATAACAAGAAGAGACCTAGTCTAGATCATGTTCTCTATATTATCCTACTATTAAGGTAAGGAATGACCCTCATCAAAGAAAGATTTCCTCTCATGGCGGTCTATTTGTTGAAGAGTGTCTTACTCATTTCGAGCTAAAAATTGTTTTTTAGCTTGTGATACTTTGTGATGTGCAGCACTGTGTGTGGCAAACCTAAATGGAGTTTATATACTGAAATAAAGTTAGAGCAGGACCCAATATCAATATGGACGGGATCTCGGCATTAAGTTAGTGTGTCTGATAAAGTACGATTACAATTTTATGTCTAAAAATTAATTCGCTCTGACTTCCCAGTCGTTATTGATTAAACTATGGGTTATGTAGATAAAGGAACACATTGCTCATTTATATTCAGGGATATCTATTATATAGAATTATAGCGTGGACCGTTTACGGTTCAAATTGCCAAGAGACTTAATGGTTAAATATGCTAACCGTCAGTTGATGGGATAGTACTAATAATTATAGAGGAATGTTGTAGTAGATGTAAGGGCATCGAAAATATACTCTCGCGTGTTGAAATGTATCGATGTAGTAATTTGTATTATGTATTCTTCATTTTTTTGGTTGTTGATAGATTGCAATTAAAGAGATATTTCGATACGAAAATGCGTTCCGCATTTTATAGTTTATTTTAGATCGGATACCAAAAGTGTTAATTGATATGTAGAACATATTTTTTTCGGGACAAATGTGATCTTGATAATATCTTCTAAATGATCCAATCTGATAAGTTTCTGTGTTGTGTGAGAAGACATTTATATATGTGGAAGTGACTCATATATATTTTTTGGTAATTTGTAGTTGGGTGAGTTCTACAATAAGTATTTTCATTATATATGTAACTTATAATGAGTTTTTTCCACTCATTTATAACACACTCCTCACGATATGAGATCTTATTAATTTTGTTTGCCGTTGAGACAAATAAAGAGACATTTCGAAAAAAAAAAAAAGAAAAAAAAAAGTCTGCCACAGACAAATTTCAACGCATAGGTTAATTAGCCCAAATAGACCGGGCCTAAGCTGCAAAAGGTACAGGCCTTAATTTTAGTTGGTCCAGCCATTATAATTCCTAGGAAATTTCGTTACATAACATTGTACACCTTGTCTGTGGCGCCTGCCTTCCCCTGAAATATTTCTTTTCTTCCCCAAATTATTATACAAAATATTAATGGCAAAATTTATTATTATTATTTAAATTTTAAAAATTAATTAAAGAAACATATAAATATATCTTTGGTTTTTTGTTATAGAATTTCGCGATATCTGAATTTCCTGGACAGAAGTAATTGGAGAGGACAAAGCAAAACGAGAAATTATAGCAAAAACAAACTCAGTTTCATATGAAAATTGAAAGTTCATATAAGGAGGATGCTCCTTATGGATTATTGAATACAACAAAGGAAAATGCAAAATAAAAAGTCTAATTTCCCAGAGGAAACAAACTCAGGCAAAAGGGTACTAATGTAAAAAACACACAGTTTCCTGGGAATTTATTTTACTGCAACTTAAAACATAGAAATGGTGGATTAATTTGCAGATAGAGCAATTGTTGGCCACCATCCAAGCCATTTTGTCGCCTTCTAGAAACGACCGCCGTACAGTGAAGGCAGTGCTTCTCCCTCTTGAGGGCCAGCTTGTTTCAGCAGCTGAAAAAAAGAAATTAAGTAATTAATTAAAATAAAAACAAGAATAAATATTGTTTATGTGTTAATTGGAGTGGAAACGTAAAAACGACCTCAAAATAGGGCTCAAACTTCCCTTTCAGGGTCTCATATTCCATCCTCAGCTCTTGCAGGGAGACTCTGATACTGTTCAATTCAAATTCAGATGAGTACAAGTGATAATTAAGTATTAATTAATTCAAATCAAAACATTCTTTAATTAAGCATTACCCTTCCACATTATGTTCCTTGCTATTGTTCCTCATTGCAATCACTTTGTCCTTAACCTTTTTAGCTCCAATGCTGAAAATTGCAATTTTTTTCAGTAACATATGCTAAAAATAAAATCGAAGCGTGTGTTTCCACACAGACACATATAAGTACCTCGCGCTGTTGACCTTCAGCTGATGAAGTATCTTGTTAATTCCAGTGAAATCGACAGGGCTCTTCGTCCTGCGTAAATGCATGAACGAAAAAGAATTACCAAATGATTTTTCAACTGTTTGGAATATAATTTCCGTCATTCAAATTAATTAATATTTGAAGTTACTTACAGTTTCTCCTCTACAGTAGCTAGCATATCCATGGAGTCTGAGAAGAACAAAGTCAGTATTTCCTCCACGAAATTTGGATCATCAGGGCCTTGGAGTTGTTCCAGTTGAACAAAAAACGAGTCGAGAGTTCCCTGCAAAGGAAAAATATATAGTAGAAAAGCTGAAATAAATATATTAAAAGGATAAAAAAAGAAGAAGAAGCTAGGACATGTTTCTATATTAAATATAAATAAGGAAGACCTCATCAAAGAAAGATTTCCTCATGGCGGCAATTTGTTGAAGCAAGGCTTGGTTCTCCATTTCGAGATAAAAATGTTTTAGCTTGATGATACATTATTGGCAAACCAAATAGGAGTTTATATAGCTGAAATAAAGTTACCAAGCCCACAAATAACAAGCATTCATTAACTATTTCTGAAAAGTAAGATTACAATTTTATGTCTCAAAAATAATTCCGTACTGACTTCCCCATGATTGTTAAATATGTTAATGAATCAGAATGAAACACATTGCTCATTTATAATTCAGGGATTCTATTATAAATTAATAGCGTGACACGTTTAACGGTCAAATTGAAAAGAACTTATAGTTAAATATGTAACCGTCAATTTGATGGTAGTACTATAAGAATTATGTATAGATGAAGCATCGAAATATATCTTCCGGTTGAAAGTTATAGATTTGCATATTAAAGGTTTTCACAAAACCGTATCCGATTTTATATTTTTTTTAGATCATAAAATTAATGAATGTAGATTTTTTTCGGGACAAATGGACATGGAAAATTCTATAATAAGTTTCGGTTTTTGGCATATTTTGGATTTTATATTTTTTTGGTAATGAGTTGATATATTTAAAAATATTATTAATATTATTATAATGTTTTCCAATAACTTAAACCCTCGTTAGAATCTTAAATTTGTTTGCCTTAACAAAAATAAAGAGACATTGACACTGTGTTATATGATACTGGCCTGGGAATATTTATGAACATTTTACTTCCAATGCGACGCCATTACTTCAACACATAGAACCATTATTTATCTCTTGACTTGCATATTAAAAACATTATTTTGAACAATTAGGCCTTCCATTAAGATTAGAATTTGCAATCCTATTTGGAGCCATGATTAAAATTAAACTAATTAAATATAAAATTCAAAAATTCAATCTTGAACCATCTAAGTACTTTTTTTTTTCTTTTTACATGACACGAAAAGTGTGTGAAAGTGATATTTTTCAATCCTTAACTTTCTTTTTTTAGCTCATTTAATAATTTAAGGATATTAATATATGGTTCGAGGAATCCATTTATTTTGATTCTTTTATTTAGGATTCGTTACAAGGTTAATTTTTTATAAAACGTTATCTTAACCTCGAAAAAATAATTAATTCGAAAGCTATGTTACGAAATAGTTTTAAAAATAACATCCAGCTACGTAAGACCGTTGCCGAACATATATAAATAATTATTCTTTCTAATGCTCAAAGTCATTAATTTGATATTTCCTTCCAATCTTTAATCAATTTTTTCATTGGTTGGAATTCAATAAATGGTAATAATACACTAAATTGGCAAAAAAACTCTTATAGTCAAAAGAATTTAAATTTAAAACCTCCTTATGTATAAATATAAAAATCAACTATAGATACTCAATTGGTTTCATTCCTTAATTAATTAATTTGCAATTCCTTTATTTTATGTATTAAACTGCCCTTAGTGGGCTTTCATGTAATTTGCACTACATGATTACCTTCTTGATGCAATTTTTACTTGAAATTGTAATTATATAATTCTGCTTAAATTAAATATCTGTAGGGTGTTTATTGATCACGATTCAATTCACATCACCATTCATTATATAATTAATTACTCAGTGGTGCATTAACAGAGTCAGAGTGGCTGGTGACAGAAGAAAATAAAGATTGTTTAAGCTAAGTTTCTTCATAAATAAAAAATAAAAAATTGTTTAAAGTGTAACTATCTTAATACTCTTTGGAGGTAGATTAAAGCTCATCTAATCATATGTCTAAAGCAGTGTAGAAATATTTAAGATCAAAGAAAACAACAAGTCTCCCAAGAAAAATCTTTATTTTTTAAATCAAACAAGCAACATGATTGACACAAAAATTTCACCTTCCTCACAAATACAAAGAAGAAACCCAAATGAAAAACATACCGTCCATTGGTAGAAAGAAGCAAAAATTAATGATGCTTATCACAAGGGAAAAATATATATATATATATATATTATCTTCTTGGCATTTTTTTGTTTTTTCTTTGTAAATATATTTCTTCAAGTTAGTTTGTTTCTAGCCCAAACCAAATGCAGGTAAGGACTGATTTAGCCTTCTTGCAAAAACAACAGTCGGTTGCCAGTCAAGCTCTATACTGCATATAGTTGACAGTGGCTATCGATTGTGTGAATATCAGAAGGAAATCATTGCCTCTGATTGAAAAAGGATTAGAGACAATATTACTAACACTAGATTTGATGGAAAATAAGAAGAGGAAGAGAAATTGACTTACTATTCCCTGCTTATTTACTGTCTGACTTGGCGTCTTATCTTGTGTTTTAGATCAACAACAATTACAGAAATGTTGTCAGAACTATTTCTTCCATAAGCTATTTCAGTGAGATTATCAGCCACAGCTTGCGCAGGCAATATTTCATCATCAGATACCATTAGTGTTCTGCGACACCTTCTTAATAGCCGGCGAGCTATCTCCCCAACCTCTTCATTGCTCATCACTTCCCAAAGACCATCGCTTGCCAATATCAAGCATTCATCTTCTTCGCTCCTTGTCATGAAACTGATCTCAGGCACTGGAATTATCCATGGCCTTAAGTACCTGTCACCTATAAAAAATCCCAAATTCATAGAGGCAAATAGTTTTTGCATAAGCAGAGAATAGAGAAAAAAAACGACAAACCTATTGCTCGGGACATAGCAAGGACTCCAAATACTCTAGCACCGTTCCAGTTTATCACTTTTCCTCCCCCTCCTTCAATTCTCATGAGCTCGTCTTGTCTATCTGGCTAATAAAACAAAAAGCATACCAAATCACTGAATTTGTTCAACTAAGCCAAAAATGACTGCACATTGTGCACATAACTTGAAGCATTTGAGTATTAAGTAATAGAAAGCACGCAAAAGAGGAGATTTAGATGCACATGACCTTATGATCAACAGTTAAAGGGATAATCTGAGTTGTACGGCAAAGCAGTGCCCTTGAGTCACCACAGTTTGATGTAATAATCTGGCAACCGGATAAAACCACCACTACTGCGGTGGATCCAACCATTTCTGATGCCTCTGCCAATACCTCATTGTCAGTCCTTTCAAAACCATTGGAAAAGGTAGTTTCCCACCTTTTTTGCCATTCATATCCATCAATTGTTTCACGATCAAATTCTTCTGCTATAACTTCATGCATTCTATCTTTACAATAGTTAGCCACCTACTTAAACATCAAAAACAATAGAGTAGCTGGGTTTTAACAACCATTTTAACCATATTATCTAATATTTTCTTTTTGCCTCCATCAACTTCTAACAGTAGCGCAACAAACAAAATATAAACATGAAATTGAATTCACAAAATATAATTGCCTTATGCTCTCCAATTCAATGTAACAAGCCACCTCTCTTTATAAATTAATGAAGTTTTAAATTTTTTTAGTTGAACCAGAAGTAACCCATCGGGTCACAGAGTGTAAGTTTTTTTTGCCTCATAGTAAGTGGATTTCTGGAGAATCGAACTTGTATTATTGGGACTACTTACTACCCCCCAATCAACAGATTGTCGGATAATAAGTTATAGAAGTTTGCATCCTAGTATATTATGATTGAAATGAGAAATTTCCACTAAATATACAGGACCAGAACTGACTGATTCATTAGATTACTTTACTATATTCAAATGTTCAAATAAAGATTAGATGGAAGTTGGATCACCATTAGTCTTTGGGCCGGAGAGAAAACATTTCTACGCAGGCTATGGGCCCTAGAGGAAAAACTAAACCTAAACTTCAACAAAAAAATCTAATAGATCGGGCTGACTCATAGGTGCCAATTATTGCAGGACAGGTGGCATGCCTCTGACCACTATAATATTGTTAAGGTGACTACTACAATCATCATGACGTAGCCCGCTACCATAGTCCAAAGAGAATAAAAGAGGATCCACCGGCCGTTTTCCAAACTTACACGTGGCTCTTATATGTATACATCATCTGGTCCCACACATTTCTTGCTTCCAGCAAAGAAGGAAATCCCCTATATCATAGTCTATGATACACCAGCACTTTAAAAAGTTTAAAGCGCAGTGATGATGCGTTTGTGATGACGATCACCGAAAACGCCCCTTGACGCTAGCTACATATGTTTTCAGCTAATAATAAAAAGAATATATGCTGCCTCCTGTAGCTTTAGAGATCCCTTTAATCCACCAAAAAAAATATATATATATGCACGGTTTTTAATTAAACGTGAATGTTGAAATACGTAAGACGGGCACAATTCCTAGAGATATGGACCAGTCTAAGGAAGACGCGTATGTTACCTCATTATTGTAGCTTTAAAAAAAATTCACACTTTATTTGTTTGGACAGACAAAAGGAAATTAAAGAAGAAAAAGTAAAATTTTAAAATAATTTTTTTCAATTTGAAAAGAAATTTTTTTAAAAAAAAAAATAACTAGATTAAAAACACTTTATTTTGTTTTTTTCATTTATCTTCTTCCCCTCCCCTTGTTGTTCTTCATCCAAAGAAAGGGTTAACATGCTATTAGTATAAATTGATCATTATAATAGTATACTTTTCAGTCAACTTGTTAATATAGATTCATAGGTTACCAAACTTCAGTTTATCAAATTAATATAGCAAAATAAATTTATTTTGTTAAATATATAAAAAATGTAAATGTTACAGATTTAATTTGGAGTATAAGGATGAATGATGGCTAATACCTGCGAGCCACCATGACCGTCGTAGACCCCGAAGAAATGGATAGGCGAGATCTCGGCGGAAGTTGTAGAACCAGGAGCCGTACATCCTCCCACGCGATCGCACGTGCATGAAATAAATTCCGGCACAACGGCAACGGCATCCTCCATCTCCCGTCGTCTCCCAATCACCGATGCGAACCCCCAGCTCACTCTTCTATTTCTCCGGCCCACACACTTTTCCCTTACCGTCACCGGTACCGTCATGGTGAGCTCCTCCTCCCTTGAGGCCCCCCCATATCTCGGTACCACTGCATCTACCACCACCGAGGCTGGAATCTCGCCAGGGCTACCACTAATGGTAGAGATGTCTCCGGAGCTAGTAACACTTTGAGAATCCTCTGTGCTAAGTATTGAAGATAAGCCAGAGCTTGTTGAAGCTAGCTCCGAGTATGGAACTGAGTCGACTCGCTCCAGTTGTCCGTTTTCTGATTGTTCCATTCAGTGAGCAGCGAGTAGTGATAGACAGGAGAAGAGAGGGAGCGAGAGGAAGGGGATAAAAGAAGCGGAAGAGACAGATAGGAGACTGACACGTGTGAGGCAAAATTGAGTCTGGTTTAACACGCTTCTCTCCTGCCTAGCGAAATTGGAAAAATAGCAAAACAGTCACATTCCCCGGTATATGTGTAAGGTCGCACTCATTAGCTTTTTCAGCTGCAGCACCGCCACGTGTCTTTCCTTCATCTTGGCTGTGCCACGCTGGTTGATTTTGCGGTCAAGGGTACATGTACGACAATGACGAAATACTTTTCTCCTTGCATGTCCATGATAAAATTAGTGCACTCGCAAGATGATTGATGTGTCACGACACTATTTGACATACTGTTTGGGTAGAATTGGAAAAGCAGTGATGTGGCGTATTTTAATTGGATAATTTAAGATTTTTAGACTCACGGGTCCTAGATTCACGTAGGATTAATTGGAAATTTAAAATACATGGTAAGCATTAGGTGGACCAAATAAAAAAGGTACACAGTGTTGATTAGTAGCTACGTGGCAGTTTAGAAATAGGGGGGGCCATAGCCATTAGGTAGAATTTGACGTTTGTAATATAAATATGCATGCTAAATAATGATTGATTTGCTCTAAGCTAAGTTTGCGCTTTCTATAAAGAATTAAGATAAAAGATTAAGAAAATAACTGAATCATACTAATTTCATAAAAAAATAAAGATAACTAAATATATTATCCTTTAATTAATGATTAATTAATTGATATAAAATTTAATAGAAATATTTAGGCAATGTTAAAATTATAATAAAATAATTATTATTTTGAATTTCTAAGTATGCCGAATGAATAGAATAAAAAAAATTTGTTAAATCTAATGCAATGGATGTAGTATTAAAGATCTAACTGATTACGAATATTCAAATGTTATTTTTAGTTATATGCTTTGAAAATTAAAATCCAACGATCACTGGTTGATTACTTAATTCTGTATGGTATGTACAATTAGAATAGTCTCTCCTTTCCTTCAACATCTCATGCTTTCCTCTAACATGTAATAATTAATAATATGTATATTTTTTTGGTAGAAAACAAAATTAAAGCTATGTTTAGTCAACTATAATGAAACAAATGCAACATAATTAAAAGTAATTCATTATATTTTCCCATAAAAATAGTTATTTTATTAATTTATATTATAACATTATACTATAAATGCTTTTAATTAAATTATATTACCTTTTATTATAGTTTATCAAATATAGCTTTATGCGATATTTAATAAACTACAGTCAAATGTCATACTATGTTTGGTAACATGATAAAATATAATTTATTGTGCGAGTAGATATTACTATTACCTTTTTTTTAAAATCAATTAAAATTAGATTTTCTTTATAATAGCATTTATTTCTCTTAAAAAAAGATTATTTCTTGAGATTAGCATTAAAAGTTTTGTAATCAAATATTTATTTCATGATATTGAAATCTTGAAATTAAACCATTAAAATTCATGTTTTTATAAAAAAGATTCATGTTTTGTAATAAAAAATTTGAGTTGAATTATAACTCATAAAATTATGTTTGATTTCGATATCCGATGAAAATTATCGTTTGAAATTGGTTTAGGTTTCCTAAGAAAGTAGGAAAATATTGTTGATGTCACGAGAACTGACACGTCGACATAGGGGGGCCCATCCTTAAGGCAAGAAACTTATGCAAGAAAAGAAACTGCTGTAAGAAGAATCAATCAATTGGTTTGGGCCAGGGTCGACTCAAATGAGAGAGTGACACCTATATTCGGTTGTTTGGTACGCTGGTAACCGTTGTAGATTCGTCTGGTAAGAGTAATTTTCAACTGATATTGATTGATCAGGATCATTTACTTCAGTCAAGGCAGTCGCTGTTATTTTAAAAATACTCACCAAACACGTTTTTTAAATTAATTCGAAATTAATTAACTTTAACTACATCAATAAACTTTTTGTGCTAGCCCCAAGCTGATCCCAACATGAATCCTCGTTTTTTTTTTTTTTTTATTATTAAATCTACGTTGTTTCCACTTTGATCCAGATATATAAATGAGCCGAGATGAATCAAGTTTAAACATATTCAAATTTACTTCATTTGCTAAGCGAGTCAATTTTAACTATATTTGAGTTGAATTTTTTCAAATCTTTTTCGAATCAAGTCGAACAATTCGTGAACTGATTCGGCTCATTTATGTTCTGCTCAATCTTCTTAGTTAAGTTGATATATTTCTTTTAGAAAGATCCGCCCCATCACCAATTGGACAAGCGGCTGATAGATCCTGATCTATATCGTGGTTTGTGGTGGCCTCTTAGGAGTTAATAAAAATATAATAAATATTAAACCATGTGATCTTAATTCTTATTTTAATTATAGATTAGATATATTTGGAGGATTTGGGGAATCCAAACCAGATTTGCTTAATGATTAGTTTTAAAAGAATTATTAATATTGTCAAATCTTGATTGATAAGATGTTAACGGGATGACCATCTCAATTTCTATAAGGATAAAAATATAAATTTAATTTTCAAAAAGCACGTTTTACTAAAAAAATTAAAAACTTTTACGTTCTATAAATTAAAAAGAATCAAACATTCTGACCTTATATATAAAATTATCAAATCCTATATTTCATATTTCCGAAAAAGATTATCAGATTTCTTTTTCTACAAATTTTAAGAAAATTTAATTAATTTTGCTATAATTTATGTGTTTTTATTTTCTACTCTTATTCACATAAGATGCAATTTAATGCAATTATATGTAAACCTATAATAAAATAGTGGATCATCTTTATGACACAGAAAAACTATATTTTATTAGCCATGGATTTGAAATAATCTAAACCGGATTTTCTTAATCATTGGTTTTAATATAATTATTTTTTTAAGGTGATATAATTATTAAAATTGTTAAACCTACATTATTTATATTATAGAAGAGGGTTATTTTTGTAATTTGCTTATATTTATAGTGTAATTATTCAATTGAATATACTTATTTTTATTATTGAGCTCTTTCACACACAAAAATATTTAATATTTTAGTATCGACGTGGAAAAAATTCTAAATCCATCAATGTCAAAAACTACATCAACAATTAGTCCATTGGATATTTAGATTGATTGTTGCAGAGAAGGCCACGTTGATGCAGTACGAGAACTGAGGAGGCCGTGATTGGATGCCTTCGATTAATGAGGATGCGCTACTGAGGAGAGGTTTTGACTTTTTATCTAGTTGATTTTCGTTGGGATAGGCATGAGAAGGGGCCAAGGTTTGGGCTGGGCCTCCAAAGGCTTTGAAGTAGTAAGGAATTGGCAACGTACCTTGAAACGTTACCCATAAATTATATGTTCCATTTAAGCGGCCACAAAACAAAACACCATATGGGTTTTCTCTCTGGCTTGGATCCGTTGATCTCAGCTCAGATCAAATACTTTCATATTGTTGCTGAAAGTGCATTGACAGTGATCTAAAGAAAATTTTTGCATGAGCCGAGCTCAATTGAGCTAGAATTCAACTCGATAACGATAAGGGTATATTCAACTCCGTGGTAAAATTACTATAGTTAAATTTAGGAGTACAATTACTAATTTTATGCTGTCTTTGTTATTTGGCACTAATTCTAAAAGATAATATTAAAAAAAAAGTATCGTTTCTTCTAGACAGCGAGTACAGTCCAACAAAAAGTTCGGAGGTGAGGCCTGCCGAGTGCTGACAAGGAAAGTGTAAGGAAGGCGTAATTCCTTTGATAAATAAATTAAAAGGGGTATCACTTATCACATGAAACGCATTTTCAAATTTGGGTTATAAATGAATTGCTCTATGAATTACTACTCATAGATCACTTAATTATTTATCATCTCTCTCTTTCACCGATATTTCAAGAATATGGCCAATACTACGTTCTTGATGAGCTGCCTAACCGATGTAAGCTTTGACATGGACGATGCTCTAACTTTTCTACCGATATTTCAAGAATATGGCCAATACTACGTTCTTGATGAGCTGCCTAACCGATGTAAGCTTTGACATGGACGATGCTCTAACTTTTCTACCAAATTTCAGGCGTCAAATCTCGGAAGCAGAATCTTTGGTTTCCGGTATGCCAACGGTTAATCCAAATGACGTTTGCTCGGTTTGCATGGAAGGTTTTGAAACGGATTTAGTTGGAAAACAAGTCCCATGTGGCCACGTTTACCATGCAGCTTGTATTTCTACTTGGCTCGCCAACTGTAATTCTTGTCCTCTTTGCCGGCATAACATTAACATCTCCAGTTGACAGTGATCGGAATTTTTTTTTTTATTTTTTTTTTTTTTTTTTTTTGATGTTTCTCTTATTAATTGCCCGGTTAACTTCATCTTCTTTTCATTCTTAAAATTTTTTAATGAAAGAAAATTGTTTGTTAAGATTGAATTGATAGTGGATATACTGTAATATCGAATAGCAACATTTTTTTTTTTTTTTTTTTTTTTTTTTTTTTTTTTTTTTGAAATGGAAAATTCTTAATTGGCCGGCTTTCAGATTATTCTTTTTATATTCAAGTACTCCCACAATTAAATCAACTCAATCCCTGTTAATTAAGTTTTCCCATTGATAATTGCTCCAATTAAAATCGTTGGATTGCAAACCCTAGCTAAATTGAGATGTTTGTTGAATGAAAGGAATGAGACATTTGATTTACAGCGGACAGTAGAAAAACTATAGAAAAAAATTGATTATTGAAATAATATAAATTACACTTTTCAAATAGAAATAAGACTACTATTTGGGATGGAGGGTAAAAAAATAACTACGACTTATATAGTCCGGAGAGGATTAACACCTTACAAAAACTGGTTCGTTATATTGCCTCTACCTAACTGTGATATGCATGGAAAATTCGTAACAGTCAAAAACATTAATTTTTTTGGTCAACGCGGTCAACTCCTTCCTATTATTCTAATATATAAATATTTTGCAAAACGAAAATCAGTCAATAGGAAGACATTATTTGTTTATTTTGGTTTTACGGAATTGGACTCATGGTTCACATGGTTACAGTCACAGATTTCATTTTCATATCCATATCTCTAATTGAAAAGTATTATT